TAATCTGTGGCTTATTGAATAATTCCCCTATTATTTTCAACATTTTGCATTATAAGCATCTTTTTATTTTATATCTGTGTGTCCATTTTTTTCTAGAGATGCAGTTCAAGGTGCTGGACTGAATGGATATTTTGATGTGTATTGCTTATTGCTTTTGGTTTGACTAGTTTCTACTCAAAACAGGGTATATGGCAACTCTATTTCAACCTGACTTCTAAATATCTTAATTCTTATTTTCTTTTCCATGCCAGTATATTAGGTTGAAAACAAGTACTTCTTTGTTAATTTGTATCTTATTGATTGAAACTTTCCCCAAATGTTGGTACACATTTGTTTATGCATATTTGGAGTTTATGAATTTATTTACTATAGCTATGGTTAACTTTTTTTTTACTGGTTTGTAAGATATTTTCAAATGATCTGTCATCATAGCTTGAACATTTTTTGGGTTGCTTGCTTGCTTTTTTAAAAATCTTGTGTTTTGACATAGAAGTTTCATAATCCCCCACTCATTTTTAAAGTAGGGAAATAAACTGATTATCAAAAAACCAAAACAATAAAAAAGTACATTTGTTTAAAAATTGTGAAATCCCCATCTAAACCTTGTCCCAGAGGTAAATGTCAGCAGATGTCTGATATGTATCTTACCATTTTATTTTTTAAAATATTTATTTATTATTTTTAGTTTTCAATGGACATAACATCTTTATTTTTTTATTTTTATATGGTGCTGAGGATCAAACCCAGTGCCCCCTGCTTGCCAGGCGAGCACTTTACCACTTGAGCATATCCCCAGCCCGTATCTTACCATTTTCTAAACAAAGATAGACATATTCATTTGGAGTTTTTGAAAACAAAGATGAGATCATTATATTATTCTACAACTTATTTTTTAATTACATACTAGAATATATTATAGACAACTTCCCAAGTCAGTAATAAACATATACTTCATTTTTAAAAATACATAATATGCATACGCCTTGTGCTTATGTAATGGCTAACCCACTGATAAACATTTAGGCTATTCAGTTTGCTTTTTTGTTTGTTTGCTTTTAGTACCAGGGATTGAACCCAGGAATACTTAACCACTGAGTCACATGCCCATCCCTTTTTATTTTTTATTTTGAGACAGGGTCTCATTAAGTTGTTTAGGGATTCACCAAGTTTCTGAGGCTGGCTTTGAACTTGTGATCCCCCAGCCTCAGCCTCCTGAGCCTCTGGGATTACAGGATGCACCACCACGCACAGCTAGGCTGCTTTTAATACCATCAACAATACGGCAAGCTAGCACAGGAGACTGAGGCAGGAGAATTGCAATTTTGAAGCCAGCCTCAGCAACTTAGCAAGACTCTGTCTCAAAAAATAAAGAGGCGGGGGATGTAGCTCAGTGGTAGAGGACCCCTGGGTTCAATCCTCAATACAATAATAATAGTAATAATAATAATAAGCATTACAGCAATAGTCACGACTATACAAGTACTTCTGTGTCTTATGTGAGCATTTCTATGGAATAGATTACCAGGAGGAATTTCTGGATCAATGGATACATTTAAAACTTTGAACTAACTATCCTTTAGAAATGCTAGATGAAGAAGAAAAAACCACTAAACCAAATTACATTTCCTTTGCCAACTGGGAATAAAAGAACCCATGTCCCTCAGTAGATGTTATCAACCTTCTTACTTGTTTTTGATCTCCTAGGTAAAAAGAGCAGATATGTACTTCTACATCCATTTAATAAAACAGTGTTTGTAACAGCAAAACATTGACTAACGGAGATGTCTGTCAACAGGGAACTGTTTAAATGCATTATGGGAAAACATGTACTGGAATCCCATGCAAACATCAGCAAGGAAGAAGGAAAGTTGTGGAACATACTAGCTTCGGATATATTGCCTCTTGGTGAAGTGATTAGTGAGGGAAGCATATTTTCACAATATTAGCTGCTTTTCATGTTTCAATTTCTGTGACAGTTTTCTGCTTGGTTATTATAGAAAATGCCACATTTCATTTAATTTAAAGCACCATTGATCATAAGATGCAATATTATATTTTTGTGCAACAAAGAAAAGAAATTGCTGCCAATTAACTATCAGATGGTGTGACTTGACGGGCTTGTCCTAACTTCGGGGACTTTAACATGTAAAAATTTTTAAAAAATCAGAATATCTCATATCAGTTATTAAAAAAAAAAGTCTTGGGGCTGGGGATGTGGCTCAAGTGGTAGCGCGCTTGCCTGGCAGTGCGCGGCGCTGGGTTCGATCCTCAGCACCACATACAAATAGAAGATGATGTGTCCACCGAAAACTTTAAAAAATAAATAAATAAATAAATATTAAATTCTCTCTCTCTCTCCCTCTCTTAAAAAAAAAAAGTCTGGGGCTGGGATTGTGACTCAGTGGTAGAGCACTTGCCTAGCATGTGTGAGGCACTGGGTTCAATTCTTAGCACTGCATATAAATAAATAAAATAAAGGTCCATCAGCAACTAAAATATATACTTACATATATACATATGTATGTATTTAAAAAAAAGTCTAGACCTTAGATTCAATGAAACATGATCACACATTTCTTTGTGTTTTAAATCAAATGAGTTCATTACTTGCAGATATAGGCATCCTGCTTAGTACATCCCAGGCTTCCCCAGCTGTAATAATATGTCTTGAAGATGCACTAGCCAGGTGTGGGAAGATGCTGGGCAGGAAAATTCAGTATTTGTAGTAGTAAAATATTATAGAGGCATACCTTGTCTATGGAGAATAATGGAAGAGTGCATGCTGCGCTATGCAGAGCCACTATTTCTGTATGGGTGTGAAAATGTACTTTTATACACATATGTCTTTGTTATACATAATGTATCTCCATCTCAAATGGGACTCAAGAATTTGTAAACATAGTTGCCTCCCAAGAAAGGGCCCAAGGAACAGGGAGATTTGCCTTTCATTTTAAGACAACTTTTCACAATTTGATTTTTAAAATATGACAATGTATTACTAATTAAAATTGCATAGTTAAAGAGTTGGATGGGGAGATGTAGTCTGGTGGTAGAGCACTTGCCTAGCATGCATAAGGCCCTGGGTTTTCCATCCCCAGCATGAGACAGGGGGAGTAGAGAGAGGGAAGTGGGTGCGGGGAGAGGAGGGGAGAGAGAAAGAAAGAAAATCTCATACCAAAAAATGCACAAAGAAAATCTCATGTCAAGTAATCTCATACCAAGATTGCATAATATTTTTATTCTGTAATTTCTATATTGTACTCTGTAGATTTTTCTTCCAGTTACACTAAATGCCCACAGTGTTAGTTTTGGAGCCTCTTTTGAACACTTACCCCTTTAGTAAAGCCATTTGACTGCGTGGCTTTATATACTTCTGATCTCAAAATGATATTCAAACTTCTGTCTTCTACAGATGCCCTCTCCTCTGAACTCCAGGCTCAATTGCACATGTTTCCGTATTGATATCCAAAAGCCATCTCAAATGTAACATGCCTATGTCATTAGGACTCTTTTGGCTCTGGGTATGTGTCAGCTACCTCTTTGTTGCTGTGATAAATTCTTGAGAAAAACAGTATTTATGGCGCATGGTTTCAGGGGTTCCAGTCCATGGTTGGCTGACTCCATTGCTGTGGATCTGAGTCAAGACAGAAACTGGTGGAGGAAGAGCATGGCAGAGGAAGCTGCTCAGCTCATGAGAGCCAGGAAACAGAGACAGGAAGGGGCTGGGATAAGAAATACCCTTCCAGTGCTTGCCCCGGAAGACCTGCTTCCTCCAACAGGCCCATCAACTACAGTTTCCATCACTTCCTGGTAGCTCATTCATCGATCAAATGGATAAATCCACTGATGATGTCAGAGCCCTCGTGATCCAGTCACTACCCAAAGCCCCACCTCTGAGTATTGCTGCACTGGGACCAAGCCTTCAACACACCAGCCTTCAGGGAACATTCCAGACCCAAACCACAACAACGTCATATAAAATCCAGTTTAAACTCAGGTAACCGTTGACGTAGGTAAATGAAGAAGTCCTGAAGTAGCTTGTGGATCAGCAGCAGTTCAGTAAGCTCCAGGCTCTTACTGCCACCCCTCTGTGAGGTTTGCTTTGACCTCCAGTTGGATTCCACGTGATTGTGAGAGCACCAGTGGGCTTCTTCACACCACAGTGTTCAGAGGAAGAGGCGCATTGGTTTTTGGAGGGTTCCTTTCAAAGAAGAAAAACATTATTCTCATAACTCATTCTTATATTCTCATAAACATTATTCTCGTTTCTGAACTTTCCTCTTGCCAAGGGGATGCCTGACATTGATTGACTTAGGCCAGGATTCCTGAATCATTCCATAGAAAGGAGAGATCCAATTACCTTCAGGCCCATTTGGCCCACTCTTGAGAAGATGCGGTCAGCCTTCCTGAGTCATTTGTGGTATATGAGAAACTGGTAAATTCATGAATGAAATCAGAGTGCATCAGGCCAGCTGAAAGGGATGCTGGGTAGGCAGTCCTCAGTGCCTACAGACCACCCAAGAGTTGTGTTTGTTTGTTATTTCCCTCCCTCCAAGTGATTCCTTCCTAGTTCTCTTTTAGTAAATGGCAGTGGCTTGAATACATAGGTCTAGTGGCACGCATAGATGCCTTCTGGGGAATGGCACTGCCACCGTCCCAGCTGTCCAAGACCAACCCCCAGGAGCCCTGTGCTATTGCTGACTTAATATGTCTCCTAACACCCATGATATTAAGTTGTTACTATTGTCGCCTTACACAGCACATGAAAGAAATTAAGAGAAAAAATATTATATTCACTAATTTCTTTGTACTTTTTCATATTCCTCATCCCTCCCTGTAGATCTGGGTTTCCATATGGTATGATTTTCCTTCAGCTACTGCTGAACTAGAAATGTCTTATTTTACTTTTGGATAGAGGGTGACAGGTGGCTAGTTTTTTCCCTTTTTGTACTTTAAAAATGTCATCTCACAGTCTTCTTGCTTTATTTTTCTTATTTCTTTTTAATATGGAATGCTTCATGAATTTGTGTGTCATCCTTGTGCAGGGGCCACACTAATCTGCTCTGTATGGTTCCAAATTTAGAATATGTGCTGCCGACTTGAGCCCTGGCTTGCGTTATTTCTAATGAGAAGTCAACTACCACTTTTTAATCATTGTCCTGTTGTGTTTTTTCTTTCTCCTCTGGCTGCTTTTAAGCATTTTCTCTCTTTTTGGCTTTTAGGAATTGATAATGCACATAAAGGTAACTTTATTTGTATTTTTCCTTCTGAGCTTGTTGACTTTTTTGAATCTACAGTTAACATTTCTCATTAAAATTGGCAACCTTAGGGATGGAAATATAGCTCAGTTGATAAAATGCTTGCTTCACATGCACAAGGCCCTGGATTCAATCCCCAGCACCAGGGGAAAAAAAATTGGGAATCTTCCCAACAGCTTGGGAGGCTGAGCAGGAGGATTGAAGTTCAAAGCCAGCCTCAGCAAAAGCAAGGGGCTAAGCAACTCAGTGAGACCCTGTCTCTAAATAAAATACAGGATTGGGCTGGGGATGTGGCTCAGTGGCCGAGTGCCCCTGAGTTCAATGCCCAGTGCCAAAAAAAGAAAAAGAAAAAAAAGAAAGAAAGAAAAAGAAAAATTGGGAATCTATGGCCACTTTCTTCATGACTTTCTCTGCCCCACCCGTTGTCCCCTTCTTTGTGCCACACCTATTACACAGATACTGGATTGCTTGGTGTCAGAAGTTACTGGTGCTGTATTTATTTATTTATTTTCAGTCTTGTTTTTTTTTTTTTTCCCATTTCAGCCTGGATAATTTCCAATGAACTCTCTTCAAGTTCCCTATATCTTCCTTTAGTGTCCAATCTGCTGTTAAACCTATTCTGTGAATTTTTAAATTTATATATATATATATATATATGTATCTGTGTATACAGACACATATATGTGTGTGTGTTTGTGTATATATATAGAGATAGATATGTATGTATATATTTTTAGTTCTAAAATTTCCATTTTTTTCCTAAAGATTCACTTCTCTCTTGAAATACCCCTCTCTACCTGTATATGTTTTTTGCAAAACTCTTATCATGTTTATAATGAATTTTTAAAATTCCTGTTTGCTAATTCCAATAGCCAGTTGTCTATGGATCTGTTTCTACTGACGGTTTTCCTTGGTTGTGGGTCTCATTTTTCTTCTTCTTCACGTGTATCATTATCTTTCTATCATATACATCACAGGGTGCTTAAAAGGTCAGTGGAGTCTGCACATATCTTTGTAGTGTGTGTTGTTTTCTGGCCAGTGCAATTCCTTAACTTTGTCCAGTGGTGATGGTGGAGGCTGACCACCGGGGTCCTTGTGCAGTTGTTGACTTGGCATCAGGCCACTACTTCAGTTAGACTGAGTTCGTGTGTGACTAGCCTGCCCCTAAGCTCCCCTGTAGCAAGCACTTTCTTGATCCTCTCACAGTTTGATATTGAAGAGAGTTGGACTACAGTTTAGATATTTTTTACTGAACTTTGGCTTAACTGCAGCAGGATCCCAGGCCCCAAAAGCTTTGAGGGCTGCCTGGGACTATGCAGTTACTTTACCCCTGCCCACCAACCCTTCCTCCACTGCTGCCTATTCATTCAGCACCCCTAGGTGAGTTTGAAAATGGGGGGGGGTATGGTGGGAAATTATTAGCCAAGTTGTATGTATTTGGGCTTGGGAACTCTTACAGATTCCAATTGATCCTTCCAGCCCCTGTCATCTGAGGCTTAGCAGTGTCTCCTCTTCAAGTTCCTCATCTAGACAGGCTCGTTTCTCCTGCCCTGTGCCAACTGGGTCGCTGCCTCCAGACAGGAAAGCTGGTGCAGCTCTCAGGCCACCTCTGAAGACCTTCCCCTAAGTTCAGTTCACGGAGGCGTACTGCCTGTGCAGAGCAATTACACAGAAAAGTATTTTGTTTGTCCTGTTACTATGGGAAGGAAGTGTTTTCATGTCCCTCTACATCCTGACAGGAATCAGACTGTGTGTTTTAAATTTTCTTGAATCTTTTTTTCCTTCACTTCTCCCATCCAATTTCTCTGCAAACTCTGACTACCACATCTACACCCCCTAGTCTCTGCCTCCCGGGCTTCCTCCTCAGAGAGCAGCACCTGTCACTCATCACTTGCCTACTAACTCATCTCCATGTTTGTCTTCTGGACCGCTTTCTAATTCACTGTCCATAGAGAAGTCAGAATGCTCACTTAAATAAAAATCAGAAACTGGGGGTGGTGGCGCAGGCCTAGGGCAATCCCAGCTACTCTAGACCCCGGGGCAGGAGGCTGTTAAGTTGAAGGCCAGCCCCAGCAACTTATGGAGACCCTGTCTCAAAAAAATAAAAAGGGCCAGAGATGTAGCTCAGTGGTTAAGTTCTCTTGAGTGGAATCCCCAGTACCCCCCCAAAAAAATAAGGCTGGGGAAGCAGTGGTAAAGCACCCCTGACTTCCATCCACAGTACCACATGAAATAAGTAAAAACAAACAAATAAATACAGAGCTGACAAATCAGCCACAGCTCTCCACAGCATCTGGCCCCTCATGCACCTCTGTCCTGTCTCAGGAGCCTCTTCCTGTTACTCAGAGACTGCCACCTGCACTGGCTTGCTAACTTTGCTACCAGGTGCCCAGGTGTTTCCTTTGATTCCCCACCTGCTGGCCTTGGCAATGCTCCTAGTTGCTGGGAAGGTGTTGGCTCTGTGTTCTTCAGACCACACCCCCCCATCCTCTCTGTGTTGCCTGAAACCTGCAAGTGTTCTTCCTGAGGCTCCCTCGCCCTCCAGAGGTTGGCTGGCTTCAGCCAAGGACAGGCACTTGTGAGGGGTTAGTGAGGAGGGAGGGCGTCCCTCTCCTCTGCTGCAGGAGGGCTCTTAACCGGAACCTGCATCTTCTCTGTGGTTCCATTTCTCACCAAGGCCCTGCCTGGGCTCTCGCGAGCACCTCCTTTGTCTCTCTTGTGGTTAGGAGTGATTTCCTTCCTGCTCATCTCTGGGATGCTGGACCACACCCTATTTGAGTGAGGGCTCTCCTGACACCTCTGTTTAACTACCTGGCACGAGTTCTTTTTTCCTGAGGGAATTTGGCTCCTGCCCTGGGCAGTGTGTCAACATCCTAGACTGAGCTCACTCACCTCTTCAGAAAACCCCCCCCTGATTTTGTTAGTCAGCCTCGTGTTACTGTAACAACTACCTGAGACCACCGGCTTGCAGTTTTGGAGACTTCAGTTCCTGATCAATTGACCCCATTGCTTTGGGCCTGTGGAGAGGCAGCACATCAGGGCAGAAGTGTTCATAAAACCACGCACCTCGCACATGGGACACAGGAGAAAAGGAAGAGCCCAGGGCCACACGGTTCCCTTTGGAAGGCATGCCCGTGTGGCCCACAGACGCCGCTGGGTCCACCTCCTAAAGCTTCCCCCTCTTCCCAGCAAAAGTGGGGACCGCCAGCCTTTACCACATGGACCTGGGGAGATACTCAAGATCAAACTGTAGCACTGACCGTCCTGGCCACGGTGGCCTCCCAGTGACTGGACATTTCGCACTCACTTCACCTCATTGGCCCTCTTCTCCCGAGAGAACCCAGGCTTCAAGAGAGTCCTGTTGGGGGCTGTCATCTCACGCTGAGAATGAGATATCTCCAACTTAGTAACACCTCAACAAACACATGTGGATCAAATGAAAGTTTTTTTCTATGTGATTTTAAACTCTTATCAACATTTTGATCCATCAAAATATGTTTTATATAATGTCAAAGATAGGTGTAGATTTTTTAAATTAAATAGCCACTGGCTTAAACCCATTTATTGAAAAATTGCTCCTCCCACATTGTTTGCACCAATCCCTTCCTCACATACTAAATCCTTTCACATGTTTGTATCTGTCATCAAGCTTTCTATCCTGTTTAACTGCTCAAATATTTATTCAAATAAGAAAGATGCAAATAATACATCAATTTAATTATTGCATGTTTATAATATAATTATTGCATGCTTATAATAGTTGATGGATTAAATTCTTCCTTCAGTATTTTTTTAATTTTTAACTTATTTTTTTATTGATGCACTATAATTATACATAATAGTGGGGTTCAGTATGACATGTTCCTACATGATGAAATTTCAGTGTTATTTTTAAAAATCTAACATATATATACAATTTTTATTGCTCTAATGTACTTTAGAATACATTCTAGAGGTCAAAATGCCAAATGCCAAAATGCCATTCAAAATGCCAAAATCTTGTTGGCATTTTGGTGGAACATATAGATTAATTTGGGGAAAACTGTTTTTACAACATTGAATTGCCCTGTGATAATTAGTGTTTCTTTCAATTTGTTCAAGTCATCTGTGTATTGTGCAGTATTTCAGTACAGTTTTAGAGTTCTCCTCACATAAATCCTACATAAATTTTCTTATTAATAATAATAGCTAATACGTATGAGCTGCTATTATGTGTCAGGAATTTTTAAAAATACTATGAGTATGGGGCTGGGGGTGTGGCTCGAGCGGTAGCGAGCTCACCTGGCATGTGTATACCCGGGTTTGATCCTCAGCACCACATACAAACAAAGATGTTGTGTCTGCTAAACTAAAAAAAAAAAATATTAAAAAATTCTCTCTCTCTCCCTCTTTTAAAAAAAATACTATGAGTATATTAACATAATTTAATCCATGCAATAACCCTATAGATAGGCAGAATAACATTATTCCTGAATAATTGATGTTTTTTTATCACCAGAGTGAATGGGATGATTTCCCTTGCATTTTCTAACTGGGTATGTTGATATACAAGAAAACTATTGATTTTGTAAATATATCTTGTAACTGGAGCATGTGTTTTCTTCCTTCCTTCCTTTCTTTCTTTCTTTCAACAATTTAGAGAAATTGCCAGCTTAACAACCACTATGATACATAACTTGTGATTATACACATGTTCACATAGGCTTTGAGTATTTGTCATTGACGTATTTAACAAGAATTGCTACTAAGATTTCACTATGTGACAAAGCTGTACTTGACACCTTACATGTTTGATCTCACCAAATCTTGCCCTGAAACTCTGTGGTAAGAATGATTACACCCATTTGCAAACAAACAAACAAAAAAAAACTGAGGCTCAGAGAGAGTAATTTCTCCCAGATCACACGTTTCTCTTCTGTTGTTTTAAATATAACTTGTACGCATACACCAACTGTGCTCGGTTTTAAAAAGTGTTGATTATACAAGGCTATAATCAGACTTTCATAGCCTAAGATAAAAAGAAGTGAGACTCGTCCCACATGGGATGGATTTCTGTAATGCTGTGTTCTTAAATTTTGGCTTAGAGCAACAGGTTTCCTGTCTCTGAAATTTCACCACAGTTCAAGACAGGAAGGTGTGATGTCATTCTGAAGGTGCCTTCTGATTCTACTAGCCTATTAGCCTAGAAGGTCATATTTTCTTCTCAAAAGCTTTAATTTCTCAGGGTAGTAGGAAAAAAAATTCAAAAGAAAATCATATGGATTGTTTCCTACTCCCAGGTATTTGCCTGGACTTTCCATGTCTATCTTTGTATCTTAAGGTATGTCAAAGCTTCATCTCAAGCTGTCTCGTCTCCTTTCTCCTCAACTTTTTTTACGGCATGCTGATAATGGAACAATTATTCCCATTTTTTTTCTTTTTCATGGTGTGCCAGGTAATAACCAGGAAAAAAGTGATATTTTTCCTTCTTCTTGGAAATCACACCTTTTCTTTCTTTGAGAAAGCTCTTTCTCACAAGGTGCTTTTTATGTTTGAACTTCTTGTTTGAATTCAGAGTTGCCCTTAAAGTGAAATAGAGTTATTTGACGTTATGTAGACACCAGGAGAGGCTGATATTAATGAATTCAAGCAGGATATTTGTTTGATCAAAAGCCTGGGCCCAACCAATGATACTGAATTTGTAAAATTTATTAGAGCTAGGACAAATAAATTAAAGGTTGCTCTTTAATTTTCAAATTTACTACTAAAGGAAGGACAGTTACAATGAACTGTGATTTTTAGAAATTAAATTTTTTAGGAATTTTTGAAATTAAGGAATTTTAGAAATTAAACTTTTAGAAACTTAATGGCTTTTCATCAAAGACCCGGAGATCACGTAGACTGCTTCATAAAGAAAGGGGCCTTGTGTCCCTCATACCACTTACAACAGCATGCCAAACTACATGTCAAGGAGAATGCTGAAGAAAGGCTTCCCGGCCAAACCACAAGCTGATCTGAAAGCGCAAAACAGCAAAGTGAGAAGTCCAACAAAATAAACACGCCAAGACTTCGCCAAGCAGCACGAACCACAGGCCTTAGAAAAGCACACACCGCCCCCCACAGGCCTCACAGTCACACCCAGGACTGCCCGGGAGGGGGCCACTGGGGTCCACGCCACGCCTCTCACCCCTTGTATGTGGGACCACAGAGGATGCTGGACGGGCAGTGTGCCTGCTGGCTGCACCCAGTGATCTTATGTGGACTCTCCTCTCCGCCTTGGCACACACAGAAGTCTCCCTGATGGCTTCAGAGGTCTTTATGTTGTCAAGGAAAATGACCCAAAGTAGCCATTTACACAATCAATTGTGCCCAAGCCTTTCTCACAAGGCACTTGGTACCTAACAGTTTTATTATTTCCCAAATAAATCACATTGATTAGGAAAGCAGGAAAAGATCTTATTTGTACCCTCAAACTTCCACTTTTAGAAAAACCTTTTAGCTATTTTAACTGTGAAATAGGCAGATATTTACCAAAAAGCTTCTCTAAGCATCTGAGATTACATTTTAACTGCTTATGATAAAGTGAACCTTGAGACATTTCCACGAATCATAAATATCTTGCTTTAATGACTCATTTTCAAAAGTCAATACATCATTCAAAGGAAGAAGGTGGGCATTGTACAGTGCAGGATTATATACTGTTCAAAAAACCTGTACTGAAAATATATACCTCCCAAATGAAGAGCTTAATTGCAGTAAGCTTAGTCAAGAAGATTTCATTAAAGAAATACAATTTAGAAAATGAATTTTTAAATTTCTTATTTTGTTATTATATTGTTTATAACAGCAACAGATTGAAATCCAAATGACCACCAACAGGAAACTAGTAAAAATTCCTGGCATATAGTAAATGCTCACTAAATGTTTATTGATTGAGCAAATGAATGGTACAGTTTCCATTGCCTAGAACACTCCCTTGCTTCCCACCCATTTTCCAAGTCAGATATCTAGCTTCTTGTTGATTCTGAGTCTCAATAACTTTCCAATAAATTCTGCCTATGCTTAAGATGGCAACCAAAAAAACCCAAGTGACACATGCATCAAATGTGACAAATACCAAATTCTATCTTATAGCAAACATTTCAGTTCCGATATAATTATAAAGGTATACCTTTTGAATTACTTTGGTCACTTGCTCATATACCAAATCCCACTTCAGCCCATAAATGGTTTGAAAATAAAGTGAGATCTCATCACTTGGGTATTGTAATGGAGCACTGGTAATTAAGAAGACTTCTCAGAGATGATAAGCTTCAACTGACAGAGACATGTCCCAAGTGTGCACAAAACGAATAAGGGCACACCAGTAAGAGTTAGTGAGATGCACAAAGTGCATATTGACTTAGTTGCAAGGAGGACCAGCCAAGTACGACAATGAAGAAAAAATACCAAACAACTGCAAGGAGTCAAGGCTAGCAGATAGTGTTGCTTTGCTGTAGGGCATGGCACATAATAGATGGTAGGAAACCCAAAAAGTATGGAACCTGAAGTTGAGCCCTGATGGGGAACAGGATAATGCAGCGACGCTGCCCTCCACAAATGCTGTCCCCTACACGATCTGTGCTTATTCTTCCAAGCACCCTCACGAGGAGATGAAAGCAGGGAGATGGAATATCCACCAGTGGTGTGCACTTGTTTTCGTTTGGAAGACCCAGAAGGCAGAGCCTGAGCAGAGCCAGCGGGTCCCGTCTCACAGGGAGTGCAATCCAGGACACAAGACTGAAAAAAGGAAGAGCTAAGGTGACACAGTGGGCCTCCAGCCGGCCACCCTGTGTCCTACCAGATGGAAGTTTACCTCCCAGGAAGCAATGCTCCATCCTCCTGGCACTGAGAGGACTAAATCTGTGCAACCTGCCTCAGCCGACTGAGAACCCCAGGCAGAGGGCACACAGAGACAAAGCACTGCTTGGCTGCTCCTGCCTGAGGCCAGCTGAAGCCATACAGAGCTGCTTCCTGCAGAGCAGCTGGAACCTGAAACATGGAAGGAGGGCAGACAGAAAGTGGGGCCTGGGAAGTGTCTGACATGGTGCTGGTCAGCTGGATCTGCCACGGGTTCTGGGTCTTCCATTACGTCTGGATGATGGAGAGCCTGCAAAGGTAAAGGAGGAGATAGTTATGAGAATCCTGGGAGTATTTATAGTATTATGCAGGACTTTCCACGTAACATACATGTATATAATACATTTTAATAATAGCATACCTGGACAAAACTGTGGTGTAGGTGCAGCCAGGAAGCAATTGCCTTCATGCTGCTCAAAAGATGGTAGCTATCCCTTCTCATCACTTGTAAAACACCCTTAATTTGACGTGAGGAATGGAATCAGTCTCAAAATGGGTGAATCACAAAAATATCTGTAGACTGAGGTTCACTTTTGAATCTAATGTCATCATTGCCGCAGGTCACATAATGGATACTGAGTTATTATTAGCAAGTTTTATAAGTTGCCTGGAAAACATCCGTCACGAGGTGGTGCAGCATTAACGGGCAGGAACAGGAGCTGTGCATAAAAGCACATTACGTCACCCTCCAGCGTCACTGGAGAAAAATGGCTGCCTGGTAATTCATTGTGAAGGTCCTGACTCCAGGAGGACTTCATGAATAACAAAGTCGACTTCTTCATTCATCACGAGCAGTGGCTGATGTGTGTTTTTCATGCAACTTTCTAAGAATAAAAATTTCTTCAGATAGACAAATATATGTCATTTTTTTTCCTCTGGATGGAGTTCTATGTTATGGTCTTGAAAATCAATAATCTGATTTGAATTTACTTGCTCTTCTTACCATCATCTAAGTCATTATTAAATGAAGCCAAATGATACGCTTCTCCTCATCTCTAAATGGAAGAGCACATTCAATTTATTTTAAAACATTTTGCAAAGCAGCATCACTTTCGGAAAACACTTAATAATTGCCTGGCAGATTATCCTCTTATGCTATTCTCATCGTCGTCAGGAGGGTCCTGATGCAGGAAAACCTCAGGAGATTGAATGGAAATATTCTCTCTGTTCCAAAAGTGGGCCTAGATTCCAATCTCTCTCCCAAAATTTGGACCTTAAATGAGTTAACGTTTACCATCCTGACCTTGTCTGTGATAGCTTGGTTTACTCCCATCTCTCTGTTGTACTCAGGCCAAAGGTGCCATCTTTTGTGCAGCAGAATAACAGACGTGAGGCTAAGGGGGAGACAGGGCACCCAGCAGCAGGAAACCTGGGGCATTGGTAGCTTCTGCCAGGTCTCTGCTCAGTGTGGCTCTTCCTAGTTCAATATGGAACTGTTTGCACTTCTGGGGGCTCAAACCTAGGAGAGACAGTCCAATACACAAAGGTCAGGCCACGGGGCACAGATGATTGGAACAACTACTTGTCAGGGGTCTGATCTGGTACTTCCCAGTTCAAGGTCAGCCTGCTTGGACCCCTAACCTGCCTCCTTCCCTCCGCACGCCCCTGCTCCTTGGGAGTGATTCTAGATACCAAAAAGCAACCAGAACACTTCAGGAGACATGGTCTAGGGCAAGAAATGTGGGAACTGGGCTCTCATCTGGACAAATGATGGAGTAGAATGAGCCTCAAGATGATAGGAGATGAGAACAGTACCAAAGAAAGTAAAATAGAAAAAAGACAGACTCATGCCCCACTGACACATGTGCTAGAGGACTAGCTCTCCCAACTCCTGGGAGCTGCTCTGTCTCCTGATGGGTGGCTGGGAGTTGATCTCTGCAGCTGGCCGGCTGGGAGCAGTCAGAGACAGCTGCTCTTGCACACACCTGTGTCTGGAGCACAGTCCCATGGGAGAAATCAGGAGTGGTCCAGAGAGAGGACAGCCCCTAAGCATGTCCACTTGGTGTGCTTCTCTTGCTTCTTCAGGGAGTTTCACTGACAGCTGAGTTCCAGGGAGGATTTGGGGAATCCGGAACCTTCCTGCCCAGCTGGAAGGTGCCACACCACTTCCTCCTGTGGGCAAATGTCTCAGTGTGGACAGGTCCCTCAGCCCTGCTGCCTGTGGAACATCCTGAGGCCAGTGCACCTGTTGCATCTCAATCACTCCCTACCGTGGCACCAACACACACCGACACATTTGTAGATAGGTCCAGAACGAGAGGCAATCTCCAGGCCACAGTGGAGCCCTGCTCCCAGGCTGTAAGTCACACTTTCTACATTGTCACACTTTCTTCTTTCCTCCAAGACAGAAGTCCTGGTGAACCTGAGGCCGACTCCCCACCACCTCTCCAGCTGCCTGTCTTGGAGGCTGTTAGGAGAAGACCTCTTCTGGTGCAAGGACGTTTTTCTCACCTGTGTTCTTTAGCTCTACCCCCCTAATTATTCCTAGGAAAAGAGGACCGCATCTCAGGCAAAATGGGCCGTGATTTGGCAGATCAGGGAGACTTACCCTTAGGTGGTGGTATCTGGTGGTATCAGCCAACTTCTCTGCTCAGATATCTGTGAATAAAATAATGACTATTGAAGAATGAGACATGTGGCTAGTTGATTCATTAAAATGGAGGGTACGTGCCTGTTGCTTAAAATATGCTCCATGCAATCAGTGTCAGCACCTCCTGGAAGTGTATCAGAAATACAAGACCCTGCTTATTTTTCGAGACGGGTTCTTGCTATGTTGCACAGGCTGATCTTGATCCCCTGGGCTCAAGGGCTTCTCCTGCCTTGGCCTCCTAAGAAATTATTAAGTGACTTGCAAAACATCACATGGCAGACAAGTGTTGAAGGCCAGCCAAAGCCAGGCAGTCTGACTCCATACCTGTGCACTGAACCCACCTTTGTCATCCTAGGAGAAAAAGAAAATGAGTCCTAGGCTGGGGGTCTTGACCTTGGCCACACATTGGAATCACCATGGGCACTCTAGAAAACACTCATATCCCACAGACTGGGACAAAGCATTCACAGTTAATTATATTGTTATATTGAGTGCATGTCTCCATATGTAACTGCAAATAGCACCTTTATGTACATCTAAAAATGCACCAATAAAAATGTGTGAAAAAAGAAAAAGAGGAAAAATAAATAAAATACATATTACAGTAAAAAGAAAATCCACAGTTTATTTATCTGACATGTCCTATGTCAAGAATCTATAAAGAATCCCCAGGAGGGGGGCTGGGGATGTGGCTCAATTATAGAGTGTTTGCCTAGCATGTGTGAGGTACTGGGTTCCATTCTCAGCACCACATAAAAACAAATAAATATAATAAAGGTGTTGTGTCTATCTACAACTAAAAATAAAAAACAAGAAAAGAATCCCCAGGAATGAACATTAATAAGACATTTCACCTAGAGTCTAAAAATAGGTGAGGGCCTGAACAAATGCTTCATACAAAAAAAATACACAAATGTCCAATAAATACCTGAAAAGATGCCCCCCAAAAGATGTCCTTGTCATCAAGTCTGAAAATAAAATAACAAAGAGATGTCCTTTCATACTCACCAGGAGGGTTAACATTGAAGAGGCCAGCACCCCCAGGGTCGGCAAAGATGCAGAGCAACTGAAACTGTCACTCCCAGCTGTGGAGGGTGTCAGGTAGTGGGCTGTGCCAGGGAGCTGTGGCCAGTCCACATAGGTCAACATGTCGCCTGAAGGATTGCACTCCCACCTACTGAGTGGGCATGGAAGTTACTGTACAGTTTCCCAAAGACTGACACCCTCCCAAGGTCAGGGGCGACGGCCAACATTTCTCCTGCTCACAGATCTTGTGGTCAGAACAGAGAAGGGCCACAGTGCAGCAGTCTTTATCTGCCCCAGGATGGCCAGCGTCTGCCATGGCTGGTCCCCAGATGGCTCATTCACCCATCTGGCCTAAGGCTGCGCCAGGACTTTCAACCAGTGTCCATCCTTGTGGTGGTCTCAGGGTCCCAGACTTTTCCCATGGCTGCTCAGTCAAAGAGCTGCCTGGCCCTTTTGTTTACATGGCCTTATGAATTGTATCCCCTGAAGAGCCACACTGTCCATGCTAGTCTGTGTGGTTATCCTGCTGTGCCGCAGGCTGGGAATGAGCCACAGGTACTTGCTCTCTCACAGTTCTCAAGGCTGGGCAGTCCAAGGTCAAGGTGCCACCAGGGTGGGGTGGCAGCTAACGGATGTCCACTTTTGTCTTTCCCTCCATGTGGAGGGAGAGGGAGAGATCTCTCTTTTTGTTTCTAATTTTTAATTGGTATATAATATTTGTACATATAGGATACGTATTGTAATTCAGTACATGAATAATCAGGTAATTAGCACAGCCATTTCCTGGGATGGTAACATTTCTGCCCGTTGGGACCCTTCACACCGCTCTCCTCTAGTTAGGTTGAAATGGGTAACATTGTAGCCCTAGTTACCCTATTCCATTAGAACTACTTCCACCCTAACTGCAGTGGTACCCATGATCCTCCTGTCACTGTGCCCTCCCACTCCCCTTCCTGGCTTCTAGTCACCTCTATTCTACTCTCTACTTGTAAGTGGCCAAATTTCTTTAGCTTCCACAAATGAGGGAGAATGTGCTATATTTGTTTTTTTTCCTTTTATGCAACATGAGGCCTATTGAATTAGGTCCTGTTCTATGAACTTGTTAATCCTTAATTACTTCCCTAAAGGCTCTCCTTGCAAATACAGTAATACTGAGGGGTAGAGCTTCAACATAGGAATGGTGGTGGGGGGGGGGCAGGATTCAGTCCACAATGTTGTCCCTGCCGCTATTCTCTGTGAACTGAAGCAATCACAAGCCTGTGGGCTACGGCAGGAGGGGACATAAAGACCACGTCTGATGCAGGCGTGTCAAAGACAGTGTAGCCATGCTTTAAAATCAGGACGCAGGGCCTGGGATGGAGTCTAGTGGTAGAGCAAGACCCTGGAGGGGATCCTCAACTTGGTAAAAATAAGTAAATAAGTAGAGTCCCTCTAAGTTCTATTCATAGCAGCCCCAAACTGCTAACAACTCCCAAATACATCAATATTGATATGGATAAGCAAGTTGTGATATATCCATATATCAAACATTACTCAGCAGTAAAAATAGATATACAACCACATGGAAGAATCTCAAAAACCTAATTTCAAGCAAAAGAAGCAGACCCACCAAAACCAGAAATGCCTTGTGATACCATTTACATCAAGTCCGAAAACAGAAAAAACTCATCCATGATGACAATGCAGGGTGACCTGGGCAGATCGTGGGTAAGAGGACTTTCACGACTTCCCCCACGCATGTCCAGTGAGCAGTGCAGCTGAGGAGCAGGGCTCAGGCGGCACAAGGTCCTAAGGTGGGGAGGACTCCGGAGCCCCTTTCACTAAAACCCAGTGCTCGCCTTGTGACAAGCTCTCACACACGTAGCTTGGAACAACCTCAATTTATGCTTTTACATTCTGAACATCAGAGGTTCAAAGTTAGTCTTAAGGGGCTAAAAACCAAAACGCTGGTAGTACTGTGTTCCTCTAGAAGTTCCAGGAGAACATCTTTCCTTCATAATCTGTTGGGGCAGCTACAGCAAAATGGCATCAATTGGACGACTTATAAGCAACAGAAATGTATTTCTCACAGTTCCAGAGCTTGGAAAGTCCAAGATCAAGGTAAATTTGATGTGTGGTGGGGGTTCGTCTTCTCCCTGTAACTTCAATGGTAGACAAGAGGGCTGGCTGTCTTTTATCAGGATGCTAATCTCAACCATGAGGTTCCACCCTCCTGACGTCCCTAAAGCTCCATTTTGTCATGCCATCACTTTGGGGGGTTCAAATGGAACACACAAATTTGGAGGATACAATCACTTGGACCACAGTATCTCCCTTGCCTCTTCCAATTTCTAGAGACTGGCCACATCTCTTGGCTCATGGTCGCTTCTCTATACTTTCTGCTTCTCGTGACATCACCTTCTTCTCTGACTCTGATCCTCCTCCATCCCCATCTCAGGATCTTTGTCCTAATCCCACCTGCAGAGTTCCTTCATCACATAAGGTGACCCATTCACCAGTCCTGGGAATTCGGATGGGGATGTATTTGAGAGGATGATTTTTCAGCTTACTTCACTGTCCTTTTGGGAAATGTACTTTTTTCAGATGTCAAAAAGAGAACAAAATCCTTATGCCAAACACTGCAACCCAAAGGACTTAGAAAGTTTCCTCTTTTGTCTCAAACGATTTTTTAAAAGTGACCTACAAAATGCTTGTCATCTCCCCAGATGACAGCATTACATCAGCTGTCCCAGATAACCAGGCCCAGGGGTGGTGATCGCATTAACAGAGAACTTAATTTCCCTTCTCAGGTCCCAGGACAGCAAGCCCCGTTACAGTGTGAGAACTTGAGAACAGCCACTGTCCTTTGCTACTAATGGGACAGGAGGTGGAGGACAGGGAGCAAGACTTTAGAGGCTCGTGTTCTCAGCTCTCCTAGTATGTGAGGATGAGAAGTGGGCACCAGCAGAGTTGGAATAACGTGTGCTGGAGGACCCACCACAGCCCCTCCTATGCCTGCACTCTCTGTCTCCAAGAGCTTACATGGTAAAGAACACAGGGAAAGGGGCTGTTAATTCTTCCCTGCACTCTCAGTCTTCTGGTTTCTTCCAGGACGTTCCTGCAGTCAACTGTTTCCCCACGGGTGGACTTGCTCCCCTCGGCCTGCGGGGTGAACACAAAGGTCCCTGGTCTTGTCTGTATTGCATCCTTGGCCGGGATCCATCATCTGAACCTCACACTCCAGCCCAACCAATCTAAGGAGGGACACAAAACTGTCTTCTGTTGTGTTGCTTGAGCACTAAATTCTTGTCATAAATGTCACTAAGGGCCTGTCTTTCCTGCAGGTTATGGCTGAGACTGGCCAGTCTTGAAGTAGCTTGAAGACAACCACTTTGCTTCAAAGTGGTTGAATGGGATGAGGCTCACCCCTCATCCCATTCAAGGGCTGCTTCCTCATGCCTCCATGAGGAAACTCGGACTTTGTAGGAGCTGTAGCACCACCTTCTCCCTCTTCTTCTGCTTCATTCAGAAAGGAAAACATGCCCCAGGGCTGCTCCTGGTGAGATAGGTTCTCTCCTCTAAGCTCAAGAGTGAGAGCCCAAGGGTGTCTGTGTGACAGCCTGCTGGAGAAGAGAGAGAATGTTGCTCCCCATAGGTTCAGACAGGAGCACCCCCAAGACTGCAGACCTCAGGCATCCACTACTGCCCAGATTGCAGCCTCCTGGCTTGGAGGATCAAGATCAGTGCTCAAGAGGCTAGAGATGTCATTCTGCAGCCACATCTGACCCCTTCAAAGGAAAGACATCAAGTCCTCCATCCCCAGCCCAAAGGTACTGCTTGTCCATAAGAGTGGCTTCCCAGTTTAGAGCTCTTCCTGGCCCTCCCAACTTTCCCTTGCCTTCCACACTCCTTTGGTTGTGAGATAACTCTCAGTGGGTGGATGTCCTGCAGTTCTGCATGTCTTGCAAGCAAGGAACTGGTTTTCCCTTGTTCTGGATTATCTTCTCAAGGACGTAAAGTCAAGTCTTGGAAGACAAACAATGGTGTCTTTCTCCAACTCAAAGGCAGTTTGCTTTCACACTTAGAAATACAAAGGATATTTCCCTCAGGAGCAAAATATCTCTTACCAAATATTCAGGGTCTCCAAACTCAGAGATCCTCTTGTATTATAAGACCTTAAGTATGCTGGTGTTGTCCAGCTTCATTATGCCTGCGCTCAGGGGCAAGAAATACGAATACTCTGGCTACTACTACTGTTGGGAAGAATTGCACAGCTTCTTCCAGTACCCAAGGAACTGACAGCCCAACTCACTAGCTAGCAAACAGGGTGAAGCCTCAGGCCCTTCTAAGGCGTCTATGCTCCCTAGTGCTAGACTCAGTGCAAAGCAACACATCCAGACCTCCTGTGTCCTCAATAAACAGGCCAAGTTGATTCAGTCAAATAGTGTCAGATTTAAAATGTAAAGATTTCATTTCCAATTCGACAAGACACTGCTGCTGTTGCAGTCCACAGAAAATTTCAGAGGTTGCTTACACCTGGGACTTTTGAAGTTAGAGCCCTTCAAAGCTTTATAGGAGCTGTTTTAGCGCCACCTACTGGTGATGTCTGATAAGGACCTTCAGATGGGCACATGGGCCGACCTATTCTAAAGTCCATCAGTAGCTGAATGGCTACACCTGGGCAAAATAGAGGTGAATCTCTCAATTATAACGGGAGAGGGGCAAGGGAAGGAATATTTGATAAGGAATATTTGGTAAGGGATATTTTGCTCCTAAGGGAAATATCCTTTGTATTTCTAAGTGTGAAACTACAAAAAACAAGAGAAACTAATTGAAGCAGTTTTCCACTCACACAGATCTAACAGGAGATAGATACAGATATATATATTTTAGTTGTAGTTGGACACAATACCTTTATTCCATTCATTTATTTTTATGTGGTGCTGAGGATCAAACCCAGGACCCCACGCATGCTAGGCGAGCCCTCTACTGCTGAGCCATAATCCCAGCCCCACAGATATATTTTTAAAGGGACTTAAAGGAATTGGCTCATATGATTGTGGGGTCTGGCAAGATAGGAATTCTGGTAGAATTTCTGTGTCAGTTTAGAGGTGAAATTCCTTCCCCTTCCCTGTAAAACTTTAGTCTTAAGGCCTTCCATTGAATGGATGAGACACATCTACATTATCAAGGATAATCTTTTTTAAAAAATTTTATTTATTTATATGTGGTGCTGAGAATATAACTCAGTGCCTCATACATGCTAGGCGAGTGCTCTACCACTGAGCCATGACTCCAGCCCCAAGGCTAATCTTATCAAAGGCAATTTTCTGTAGATGCTGATTACATCTGCAGCAACACTTACTCTAGTGTTTGAGCAAACAGCTGGGCACCACTGCCTAGTCAGGGTAACACATAAAGTGAACCATTACAGGCAACCCTTATTGATTTGGCATTACTGTACCTGACTTTTTATTTAGGTACTGGGGATTGAACTCAGGGGCACTCGACCACTGAGCCACATCTCCAGCCCTATTTTGTATTTTATTTTTATTAATTTTTTTTTGCAGTTGTAGATAGACAGCATGCCTTTATTTTATTTTTATGTGGTGCTGAGGATTGAACCCAAAGCCTCACACATGGTAGGCAAGCGCTCTGCCGCTGAGCTATAGCCCCAGCCCCTATTTTGAATTTTATTTAGAGACAGGGTCTCACTGAGTTGCTTAGTGCCTCGCCATTGCTGAGGCTGGTTTTGAACTTGAGATCCTCCTGTCTCAGCCTCCTGAGCCACTGGGTTTATAGCGTGTGCCACCACGCCTGGCTGTACCTAACTTCTTAAGTCACACTTAATCTCCTCCAAATAAAGACAATAACAACATCAAATTTCCACCTAACCTGATACAGCTATCCTGAGTACGAAACTTCACTCCTTCCCAGAAGAGGAGGCAAATCCTTGGGCAATGCTTATCTTCCCTTTTTTGTTTTTGTTTTTATTCTTTTTTAGTTGTAAATGGATCTTTTATTTTATTTATGTATTTATATGTAGTGCTGAGGATCAAACCCAAGTGCTCTACCACTGAGCCACAATTCCAGCCCTCTTCTCTTTGACATCCTGAAATTTAAAAACTACCATGGAAAGTTAGTACATCTTAGGTTATATAAAGGAATAAGAGAGGGAAGGGAAGCAAAGATATTATGTATAAGGATTACATTTGTAACCAAAAAAGAAATATTCGTGACAGTCTTAATTTCTGTAACCAGCCATGTGGCTGGGATTTGTAGCTAGTATCCTAGCTGGTATTTGTAATAATCACCCTCTTCCACTGTCATTCCACATTCCCTTGGCCCTCAGCAAGCACTTCAGATAGTTGTGGTTCTTCACCTGGTGAGATGATGACATCTTCATCCCTGAAAGGTCTGGGCCATTATTGTTCCCATCTGCATTAGACTGTTGTGGTTTTCCATGGACCTTAGTCATGGTAACAGTAAGAGATGCCCCACAGGAGCTCTTGCACTCCAGATGTACTATCCCCTGCTTCCACTGTAGAGTGGCTGCCCAGTCTGCCCTGAGCAGCCAGGATCAGTCCTCCCACAGCATCTGTTGGTTCAGAGGCCTGAGCAAAGCACCTGGTGGCATCTGAAGTTCCAGTTCATTGGGGATGCTGTGTCTCCTGGTAGAGGCAAGCCTCCTTTTGAAACTAAGACTTCTAGGTCAGCAGAGCATGAGGTCACCATTCAAGAAGCAAAAATTTTGTAGGTCACCAGGGGTAATTGTGGCTGGTGCCATTCCCGTTTCCACCCTTTGGTTCCTGGACCTGCATTTGCTGGCTGCAGGAGAAGCAGCCCATATGTTGCATGCTGATTCAGAGAATATACAGCATTCTGGAGAACCTTGTCCCAGCCTTGCAAGATATAGCCCGTCACTGTGCTACATCTGAGTCTTCAAAAGGCCATTTCACCCTTCAGTCAATGGAGGGAAACGTTGTTAAATCCACGGATTCCATGAGTGTGGGCACACAGAGCAGTGAGTTCCTTGTTCAGAAGCACAGCTATGTGAAATCCACCATCATGGTGGACCAGGCAATCTGCAAGTCCACAGGTGGTAGTTTTGGCAGAAGCATGGCATACAGGGAGGGTGAAGGCACATCCACATATGGAATGTGTCAATTCTAAGAAGGATAAAATTCTACGATGGAAACAGTCCACCACACTGGGGAACAATGCTGTACTAAGGAATCAGTGTCAATCTCTGCTGTTGACAGAGGCATTCGATGGTGGTCATGGCCAGGTCAGCCTCAGTGAGTGCAAATCCATGTTGCTGAGCCTCTGTACAACCTTCATTACTACCACCATGGCCACTTTATTCATGAGCTCAGTGGGTGGTGACCAGGGTGGCTGCAGAAGGAGACTCATTGTTAGTCACAGAATGGGTACATCCTATGCACTCAATTATTGAAGTCCTTCTCTGCTGAGGTGACCCTTAGGTGAGCATTCATGTGGGACATAAATATTTTCATGGGATTTTTTCCAGCCCACTCAGAGGTTTATCCACCAGAGCTCTTTGTGGGTGCAGGGGTTTCCCTCTCTTGTTTATTTCTCATTTGTGGTGAAATTGTTTCTCCATCGAATAAAGATTGTATGGGTGTTTCTGTTTGTGAATATCCAGTGAATACACTTAAGATATGTGTACATTTTGGAATGCATATTATACGTAATTAAAAAGGGTTAAAATGGTAAAGATAAAGGTAATAAGACAAAAACTAATGGAAACAAGAGAAAGACATTACATTAGATATGTAAAAATTCTAATTTTTTATTGGTGCATTATAGTTGTACCCAGTGTTGGGGATTTGTGGTTATATATTCATACATGCACACAATATAACAATATAGTTTGGCCAGTATCACCCCCAGCACCTTCCCCTCCCTCCTCAATTCCTCTACATTGATCCCTTTCCTCTACTGATCTCCCTTTGATTTTCATGAGATCCCCCCACCTTTCTTCTTCCTCTCTAGCTTTCACATGAGAGAACACAACCCTTGGCCTTCTGAGTTTGGCTTATTTTGCATAACATCATGTTGTCAAGTTCCATCCGTTTCTGCAAACGACATAATTCCATTTTTCTTCACAGCTGAATAAAACTCCATGGTGTCTGCATTCTCTTTATCCATTCTTCTGTTGAAAGACACCTGACAGACAGGTTCCATAATTTGGCTGTTGTGAATTATGCTGCTATAAACAATGGGTATTCAGGTATCACTGTAGTAAGATGACTTTAATTCTTTAGGCTAAATACCGAGGAGTGATATAGCTGGATGATATGGTGGTTCCATACTGAGTCTTTCAAGGAAACTCCATATTGATTTCTATATTAGTTTTATTAATTTACAGTCTCACCAACAGTGTAAGTGTTCCCTTTTCTAGATGTCATTTTTAATTATAAAAAGTTACTATTTATATATATACACATATAATGTATATATTATGTCTGAATACACTATTTATTTATTGATATATATATTTAAGTATCTTGGTAAAATGATTGATTTTTTAAGGAAAATATGAATAATCAAAACTGATTTGAGCCTCTCAGTGTCACCAGTTGCTGTGTGCGTGCGAAGGACTGAGCTAGCTCGAGATAAAAACTCTTTGCTGCTTACATTGATCTTGGTCTCTGGTGGTCTTTTGGGGGTCCTGAATTTGAGCATAACATATGGGGGCTCATCCGGGATTCCCCCTATAAGCCTATTCAAGACACCCCAATAGAGAGGTGATGAAAACCCGGCTGAAGCACCCATCCCCAGATGTCAACCTGTTTTTCTCCAACCAGACTTCAAATGGAACTGACTTCTAAAAGGGAACTCATGTCCCCCATTTCATCCCCCATGTTGTCCCCCACATCGTCGAGCCCCCCTCGAGTTCGACACCCTCTTTCAGCTCTTTAGTAGCCAGAACGAGCCATTGCCCCTTCTCCTTACAGCAATAAGGAGTTCCTAAAATTAGAGGGGGGAATGAAGCCAGAAATAGACAGACAGTGTAGATAGGTAAATCGAGTCAGGTTGGATCTAGGAGGCCAATTTTGAGTGAGTCTGGGAAGTTGAAGACTGTCCCCTGAGGGTTATTGTTTACCAAGATGTAGAGCCTGCCCAAATAGATCCCAAACCGAGGGAACCATGATTGGTTCCCAAGTTTCCAGACAAAGGGGGGAATGAAAAACCAGCCTCTACCTCAGAGCAAAGCTTGTCCAAGGAAGGGGGGGTGACCCTTGTCCTTGGAAAGACCCACAGAGCACTCCAAGGCACATACCCACCCTGCAGAGTTGTTTATCTACAAATAACAGGAGAGATCTGCTGCACCAGATGAGGGAAATACCTGGGATGCCAAATGACCCTCCCAGTAGTTTATGGTGGTTGATAACATGTTGGGAAACCATAGAGTTCAGCACGTACACCCCTCGTGACTTAAACAAATCAGTTCAAATCCCCCTCTTGTACTAACCAATCACCCTTACTCAACTTGTTCCCGCCAGTGAATGTGCTAATCATGTTTTAGAGTTGTTTTATGATTTTCCCGTGGTGTGTGATGATTTGCTAAGAGATGCTATGATATATGTGAAGTCCCTGCCTTCCCCAAAGAATGTATAAAACTGCTGCAAACCCTGGTCTCGGGGCCTCTCAGTGTCACGAGTTGCTGTGTGCACACAGAGAACTGAGCTAGCTCGCAATAAACACCTCTTTGCTGCTTAAAAAAACAAAAACAAAAACAAAAACAAACCTGATTTGACAAAAGGCAGAAACATTAAGAGACCAATATTAAAGTAATTTTAAAAGGTGCTTAAAAGTCAACCATCTTATTACCAAAAGCTTCAGGCCTGTTTAATTTTATGGATGCCATCTATCAAATATTCACAAAACAGTAGTTCTTATGTGATTCAAACTGGCCCAGAGCAGCCAAAAACAAAACAAAACAACAAAACCCTTCTTAACTCATTGTAGGTTAATATATTTCATAAATCAGAAAAGGACAAGAACAGCACATAAGCAAAGTATACACAAACCACCACATATTTTAAGGGAAAAAAAAGAACAAAAAAGTAAAACAAAAACAAGGAAAAATTATCTACCAATATTCCTTATAAATATAAGCAAAAATCTTAAGTAAAATATTAGCGAACCACCAGTGGTAGAGCAACAGGAGTGGAAAAGAGAGAGAGAATGAGAGAGAAGTTAAAAATTCATTTGGTTAATCAGGTTCAGTCACCCTCAGGGACCCTCAGGGACCCTCAGTCCTCTGAACTAATTGCTAGATGCAACATGCTTAGAAAGATCCAATTTGGATGCCAGTCTTGGGGCTTCCAGAACTCTGAATTCTAACAGCGCAATGTGGAGGTGTGTACTTGTGGTCCAAACTACTCAGAAGGCTGAGGCAGGAGGCTCACTTGAGCTCTGGAGTTCACGGAGGGCTTCAGCAATATGGTGAGACTCTGTCTTTAAAACGGAACAAAACGAACAAATAAAAATAATAATGGTTCAGCATTAGGAATGTTATTAATGTACTGGCGGGAAAAAGGGGATACAGTAAAACA